TGATATCTCCTGAATGTTAACAAAATAGAGGGAGGAAATATGACAGATATTCCTCCAAATCTAGAAAGCCTTCTTCTTCCTCCTAGGATCTGAAACACAACATCCGGGAAAGTTCTTGCAAACTAAACCAAAGATGAATTGGCCAAGCAGCCATGGGGACACTACACAAAGCCATGGAGCAGCTGCTCAGATGCTGTACCTCAGTGGGTCAGCCCCACTGCAGATGCTTGACTAGGGATGTTTTTAAAGCAAGTCTTTGCCCAATGGCCAAGACTGCCCAACTTCTATATGCCTAAGAGCCCAAGGCACTGTGCCGCATTCCTGCTTCAATAGCCCTCCTTTCAAATGTTCAGCGAAACGTGTGGAGGTCAAGCGCTAAGCCTGCCACCATGAGTCTGTTCCCTCTCTGCCAAAGAAGACATCTTTCCTCACCGATGACAGATATGGTGGCCCGCCCAGAATCCTGCACAACCGCTTCTGGCATTGTTAGGCCAACTTCCTCAGATGCTGGATCTCCTGGAGGGGTTATATGTGTGAATAAAAACCTGGAATTAGGATAGCTACAAAAACAACCCAGTTGCGGTAACTTTTATTGCACAAAACATTTTTGCAAGTGCCCAGAAGATTCCTTATCTATCAAACAAGTGGTCGTGGAGGACACAATCAACTCATTTTTCCATTGGGGACCTGAGTGTGATAGGTAGCGCCTAAGGCTGCCCTGCATAAAGACTGAAGCAGGAATCTCCTAGCTGAAGAACACACTCTGCCTTTTCACCTGCCGCTCCTTCCATCTCTTCTGTAGCGGGTGGACACATCGCTGTGTCACCTTCTTATAGCAGAGCTACTTCGCAGAGAACGGGCAACCGGAAAAACATGCTGATCTGTGACCTCTGGGGACCCATCACAAGCCCAGCAATGCTGAGCAAGAGGCCCGGCCCAGCCATACCTGAAGAGCACAGGAATGTGTTCTGGGTCTCTTCTTCAAGGACACCTTTTGGCTGTAGGAGAAAAAAGGAGTTATGGGTTATTTGGCGGTGGGTTTTTGGAGGACTTTCTCAATGGCAAGACTTTGACTGAGCCCACTTTCTTTGGCTGAAGAAGAGCAGCCATCCACCTCGCCTTGGCCTTGGCAACACAAAGGCTCTGCAAAATTCAGCAGCCATTGACGCTGAAAGAAAATATCCCAGCATCAGCCCCTTCTGGAATGTTGGTTAGTGCCAACTGATATCCGCCCTGACCTTGACGAGTAATGATTTTATCACTGTGTCTGACCGGCCACGCGTGGGAGTGACAGAGATCTTGTTGCCACACAACTCTTGGGTCTCCTCGGCCTCACTGCTCACTGAGATGTTCACGTGCCCTACGAGAAGGCAAAAGTGATGGAGAGCAGCTAGTTACAGACTTTCAGCCACCACTTGACTGTGAATAAAAATCCCCGCTCTTTCCTTTTTGCCCAAAACCCATTCCATAAGCCCTCCCACCACAAATGGATGCTGCGGATGCGATGCCAAGGCGACCTCTGTATCTCTTCACAGATGGAGCTGGATGCAGATCTGAGTGCAGAGGGGTCGAATGATTAGAGATACGGGCTACATTCATGACTCTGTCCTCAACCTGGATCCCACCAGCTTTAACAGATGTTTCGAAGGGACAATATCTTGGTTGGAAAGAAAACCCATCCCCGCACCTGCCCTCCAAAGCTCCAGTGTTGCTTCTGCTGAGTGCTTTTGTTGACAGGCATCTGGAAAACTAAAGGGATGCTCTTGGAAGATTCAACCTACAGACCTCCCCACTCCTTTATCCCTCTGCCTCAGCCTCAGTCTTACCCAGCTGCACGGCTGTCACATTCCAGGAGAAGACTTTGGCCTCCTCAGCGCACAGGCAGGTGGTGAACTGGCAGTCTGGACATGGTTTCACCTCCACCTCCTGAGACTCCAGCAAGGTCGTTCTCACCTGGATGGGAACAAGAAGGAAGCAACACAAGATGGGCCAGGCAGCTGGGCTTAGGCAAAGGACAACTACTGAGGGGAAGGCACACTATGAGCTCATGGAAGGATCTATGCTGACCACCAATGCCTGTGCCTGGGGCCACCTGAGCTTACACATGCAGGATGGGATAATATGGAGCAATGCCCAATAGAACTTCATGATCATGAAGGAGACTGCTTTTTGCCAGCTCAGATTGGCAGGAACCCTCTGGAGAATTTTGCCTTGCAAGTGTCTGAAAGTACCTCATGCATTTCCTCTGCCCATGGTTGGTGGGGAAGAAACGTGGGCCGCTAGGAGTCTATCATCTGTCAGGTACAGGAAGGAATACACAGCTTCTGTCTGCAGTCTTGGTCTCCATTTCTAACTTGTCTAAAGCACATCGTGAATTTCCTCCTCCTCCTTTTCTTTTCTAATGATAAAGATTTCTGAACTGTCCTAAATGGGGTCTCACCTGGATACAGTCCTTGAGGAAGTTAAAGACGGTGACCTTTATCTGGAAAGTCTCTCCACGGATTACAGAATATGGCAGTGTCAGATCAAGAAAGAAGGGCTGGAAAACCCTGATCGTGGTTAATCGGGAGAGTCCAAAGCCTATGTCCGCCAAACAGAATGCATTTGCATTCCACTCTGTGATTGTGTCTGGAACAGTGACTGAGTGAACTGCTTTCCCTTCCTCACTGCAAAACAGGAAGAGAGTTGATGCTTCAGTGACCAGATCAAAGCAAAGCAAAGGTTGTGCTGGCAAAACCAGCTGTTGGCCAATTGAATCAGTATATAAGAGCAGTTAGTCAGAGGGGCATGCAAAGAGCATGGTTTACACTGTCCCTAATTTTTTAAAAATAATTTAAATAAAATATAAAATTACTTATATTATTACAGATCGTCCTCGCTATCTGACCGTTCGTTCAGCGACCGTTCTGAGTTATGTCAGGGCT